GACTCGGTTCCTCTCCATCCAGATAACCCAGAAGCCCACTGCTCTGACAGCCTGTGCCACATAGCCCCAGCCCTTTCTGAGTTGAAGGTTGTCAGGTATCCCTCCCAACAGTACCCACTCCCTATCCCATTTCAGTGTGCCACCTGTCCAACCCTCCCATTGCTCTGCCCACCACTCCCAAATCCTTTTAGATGCAGGGCAATCCCACCAAATGTGCGGGGTCGATTCAAAGGCCCACAGACATCTCTTACACTGTGTTTCCACAGACATTCCCTTGCTGGCTAACCATACTGCTGAAGGGGTGGCCAGAAGTGACCCCAGCCAAACTAATGCCGCTGCCCTTTGATTTGGTGCATCCGTCAGCTGCTCCCAACTGTTCTGGATGTCCCAGGCTATCTTCTCAGCATCTGATGGTATAACTCTACTCCACCTTTCCGTAGCTGCCATCAGGGGAGTTCTAGCTGGCGCCAGTACTTCGTGTGCCAGGCTTAGAGAGAACTCGTCCATTCTTACATGTTCACCTCGCGGTCCTCTGCTCCTTCATGCCCACTGGTTCGGGTCCACTTTCAATTTATTAATTGGTTTACCATTATTCCAGATCCGAACTTTCCAACCTCCTCCTTCCCACATTTCCTTTACTCTTATTTCCTCCAGTTTTCCCCTGGGTAGTGTTATCAGTTCCTCCTCTCCCTCTGCTGTGTCCAATTCCCCTTCAGCCCTTGATATTTCCTTCCCTGTTCCTCCGACTGTTCCACGATTTTGAGGAACACCTGTGTCTGTGGATCTTCTTGGCCTGGTTCCGTGTATTGTTCGAACCAGGTTCCTATCGGATCTGGGTGGTCTGGAGCCAGTATGCTATGCCATTCTCTCGGTAGAGCTTCCAGGACCTGTCTTCTCCTCCGTTTCGTATATCTGCCCGGGTGCAGCTTCTTTTCCATCTCTTCCTCCGAACACCACGTGCCTGTCACTTCGTCCCAGAGGTCACGTATTCTCACCACTCCTCGCTCCGTCCAAGCTTTGCCGAAGTTCCCTGCTTCCTTGTTAGCATTTAGCATCTCCCCTTCTGGTCCTCTGATGCGTGGATTCTCGAACACTATTTGTGCCAAGACTTCCTGTTTCGTATGCGGTTCACACCACATTTTCGGTTTAACCTTACTCCATGCCTGGATTACGGCGCCCCAAAACTCAGATTTTACTCTCCTTCTCAAATATGTATCAATCCAGACACACGCCCATACATCCGAGGGGCGAGTTAATTGCCATTTACTGAGGATGGCTTCTGCTAATAGGATCCAGTGCTTCTCCCGCTCCTCCGTGATTGCCCGAACAACCCATCTTGCCAAGTTTCTTCTTCCAGGGTCAACCATACCTAGTCCTCCTTCGTGTCTCGGCACACAGATCAGGTCCCATGCTACTTTTGACATCACGGTCACTCCTTCCTCGGCGTTTGGCTTCCATACGAATTTTGCAGCTTTTCTCTTCACCACCGCTTGGGTCTTCTTTCCAATTGGTCTGACATTTCCCACATATGTCAGAAGTGCAAATAGAGCCACGTTCACTACCAGTGCTCTCCCAAATAAGGAGAGGTGTGGGGCCTTCCCCCACATGGACATTCTCTGTAGCACTTTGGTTTGAAGTATTTCCTCCTGTCTCAGCGCACATGATGTGAGAGTTATCTGCACTCCAAGGAATCTCTCTGAGTCCCCTGACAGTATTCTCTTCATCCCCCAGTCCACCACTGGTGTGAACTTGTCTGGGAGGAGAAAAACTGACTTAGACTAGTTAATTGCTGCTTTCGATAGGTTCTCATACTGCCTGAGACAGTAGCGCAGTGCCGACATCGATTGTTGTGTGTTTACTGATACTGCAAGAAGGTCGTCAGCTAACGCTTCGACCTTGCATGCCCGGTTCTCAATATCAAAACCCACAATCTAAGCATGGTTCCTAATGTTGTTCATTCGGACCTCTAAGTGCAAAACGAACAGCAGTGGGGCGAGTGGACACCCTTGCCGCAACGACCTTGTTAATTGAAACGGTTGAGAAAGGTGACTGTTGACCATAACCGAGGCCGATGATAGTGAGTATAGTGCGATCACCCAATTGCAGAACATCTCCCCAAATCCCATCCACCTTAGAGATGTCAGGACGTACGACCAGTTGACCCGATCGTACGCCTTTTCCATATCTAAGAGGACTGTTATATCTGAATCCCCATGAGACACTACTTCTAGCATCTCCACTGCGGTTATGATGTTCTCATAGATGGATCGCCCTCTCACGAAGGCTACTTGATCATCTTCCACCAAAAAGGGCAGATATCTACCCAGTCTCCGAGCCAGCACTTTCGCCAGGATTTTGTAGGACACATTGAGAAGCGAAATTGGTCTTCAATTTCAAATCTCATTTGTGTCCCCTTTCTTGTATAAAATAGCAATGATCCCCCTGTATGCGCTCACTGGTAGCCTTCCACCCATCTGGATTTCGTTGTGGATTTTTGTCAAGTCCTCTCCCAAAACTGCCCAATGCTCCCTGTAAAATTCCACCGGGAGGCCATCATTCCCGGGGGGGTTCCCACTGGTGCTTCCCCTGCTTCCTCTTTCGTAATAGGTTTATCCAGGTCTAGCCATCCTTGAGTTGAGAGTCTAGCTGTTGTATTGTCCCAGTGTGTGGATCCCTGCGTTAGATCTGCATCTGCCCTTCTCCCGACCATCGAGTTGTCATAATATCTTTGTAGTACAGTGTCGCGTACCTCCAGATGTCCTTCGGCTGGGCAGCCACTGGTTCTTCTTTTTCAAATGGATGCTTCAGTTCCTTCACCGTTGGCCCCGTTCTTGCCGACACCAACTTTTGAAAGGTATCCTTCGTCATCCTGTCATAAACCTCCAGCCCTTTAACTTTTGTCCTTTCCGCCCAAACCTCGGATTTCTCTTGCTGTTTCTGGTCCCAAATTGCCAATCTTCTGACCCTCTCTTTTCCCCAAGTTAGCTCTGAGATTGAATGTTGCTTCATCTTCTCCTCCGCCTGTAGCACTTTCCTCCAGCATCTTTCCTCTTCCTTGTTTCTGTTTTGTGCTAAGACTCGAGAGAAGACATTCAACATATTGGATAGGATTCTGGACCCCACCTCCCACCAGTCTGCCAGTGTGGCAAACCTCTCCTTTTGATTCTCCCATCTTCTCCAATAATCTTGTGTCCATTGGTTGAGTTCCTTATCTCTGAGGTTCAGCACATTTAGCTTGAAGTATCCCTTGCACTTTGGGTTCTCCTGTCCGAAGTTGAAGACTCCTACCACTGGTTTATGGTCCGAGATTGGGTTGGAGTTTTCTGCAATACCGATCGGCCTTTCTCTGGTATCTCCTCTTGTAAGGATGTAGTCCAGCCGCTTACCTTTGCCCTGGTGTGTGAACCAGGTGTATCCCTCCTCTGCTGGATGTAGGTCCCTATATGCGTCATGTAAGTCCATGTCCGACATAAAGTCCACTAGAGCTAGGACATCTTTCGGGCATCCCTTCGTCGCCTGATTCGGAAAAGCATCCAGGGACATGTTCCAGTCCCCACCAATCACTAGCTCGTCCACGTTCGGCAGGGATACTCGTAGTTCCTCCAGGAACGAACACCTCTCCTTTCTATCCACTGGTGCGTAGACAGTAGCCACGCCCCATCTAAACCCACCTTGGCTTAGGATCACCCAAGCCCACCTGCCCCACAAGTCTGAGTGATAGTCCTCCATTATTGCTTCTAGATTCCGGTGGATTAGTACTCCCACTTCTCCCCTCGTTCCCCTCGCTGCTGCCCAGATTTGAGGGTCATCCCACCATCTCCCCATCTCCCCAATCTTCTCATTATTTAGCTTCGTCTCCTGGAAGCAGACTATCGAGATCTTGTTTTCGTGTATCCATGCTTTGATCCTCGCTCTCTTGCTTCTTCCGGTTGTGTCCCCGAAACCTTGAAGGTTCCATGTTGCCACCTTAACGTTGCCCATTGAGAAGGTTTGTTCCCTGTTGATCTTGGATGTGGGCTTGGCTTGGTCTATCACCTGTCCAGCGGGCTGTGAGTGCCTCCTTCATGAAGGCAGAGTCGAGCTTCTTATCTTTTGGGAGCCTGCTCCTGATTTCTGATAGTGCTTCTGCAGTTACCATTAGTGGCGAAATTGTAAGGCGGCTCAACTCTTGTTTCTTGGCTTCTGCAAACACCGAAAGTGGGAGCAGCCGCAAACCCAATGCTTCTAATTCTGAAAGTTTCCCTTCCGACAATCTTGCATTCACCAAGGGAGCATAGATCTTTATCTTCCCTCCGGAAGGACTGAATAGGATCCTCGACATCGCCACTTCTGGAATGATTCGCATTGGAAAGGCGTTTAAGTACAGGTTCTTCAAGCACTCCTCAATTTCTACCGTCGTCGGCATCTCCGTTACCGCATGCCCAAATATGGTCAAAGGTTCTGAACCTTTCTGCCACGTAACTACCCATTGGGTGTTCCGCATCGTTGTACACACCAATGGAACAACGTATTGCGAGAAATCAGTGTTTTGTTCCTTCGTGGTTGCAAGGCGGCGGTCTCTCGTTGTTTTCTGACCGGGTAACCCCAGACCCCTCTCCTGAGCTACCGACTTCTCCGAGCCACTCTTCGACAGTCTTTACGCTCCTGACGGCTCCGGCATGAGTGCGACCTGTGATGCTGTACTCAGACGTCTCTGCTTTCCTGGATTTCGAGTCTTTGCTCCTGATTGGGAATTTTGCCCCTTGTTTGTCATTCCTCCTGCTTGGGTCCCTCCGAATAGGGGAAATGGGCGTATCGGTATCCGAACCTACCCCGCTTGCTCCTTGCTGCCCCGCCTGCGTCCCTTGCTGATACAACATTGGAGTTGTGCCTTGTCTACCCATCATGCCCACCCAGAGAGCGGGGTGGATTCCGTTTGCTAACAGCCATTCCGAGGTTGCTCCTCCTTGCCATGGCATTGGATGCACACCTTGTGGCTGAGCGAAACCTGTGCCTCCCTCTCCTCCTCCCATGTTCATACTGCCTAACATCTGACCCATCTGAGCTGACAGCCCTCCTCCTGTCTGACCCATTCCTCCTTGTCCGTCTAGGGGCGGAAATCCCCTTGCTTGATATTGACCATTTAGTGTCCCATGTCCACTCTGCTGCCCTTCCCCACCCCCTTGTGGGGAGAATGTCGGATTCACTTGGAGTTGTCCAGCGTGCACACCGGATGGCTGCCTTGTCGTTTCCGGTCTTGGGCCCATCGGACCATGGTATCCCGACACTTGATTGCCTCCATTCGACGATGTTGTCGGTCCTTGCTGTTGTCTGTGAATCTGCTCCGACTGTGCTGTTCCTGTTCCACGTGGCTGAGCTCCTCCTCCCCTTCTGCACTCTTGTTCGGTGTGGAAGAATTGCCTGCAGCTCCTACACTTCAACGAGTCTTAGCAGGCCAATTTGATCTCCAGGACGTCCCCTTTCGCCATTTCCACCCATAACATGTCCTTCATGTTTGGACGGACTTTGAGTTCGAGGTTGAATCTTGCGCTGACAAGTGCTGGTCTCTGGGGATCGGCGTCCGTAGGATGTGCTAAAATTATCTTCCCAATTGCCTTTTCGACCTGGGCATAGATAAACGGCATGTCATCCAGTGGCACTTGTAGTGCCATCACCCAGAACGTCCTATCTTCCTCCTGTCTTCTTACCTCCGTAAATTCTGCCCTAGTCATCCATGGTTTAAATAGAACTTTGTACGTCTCTGAACCTAATGACACCTCCACCTACCCCTCCGCTTTCATGTAATCTGCCACCTCTCTACGTATGAGGCCACCCCGGGGCCCTCAATTTTCAATCTCCCTCTCCGAGAATTTTCTTGCAAATTTGCGTTGCCGATTAGCCAACCATCCTCAAACACTCGGACTAAGTCATCCTTGATGTTTTTGGCCAGAAATCTCACTGCCTTTTTAAATATCACTGTTACCGTATGTTCTTTTAACCATTTGGCTTTAATTTTGTCCAGGGATGTGTTCAATTTGAACCTTACCTCTCTCCCTTTTACCACCATCTCCCCTGGGTCTATCTCCTTGGGGTAGACCCCATCATCATAGCACATAGTCAACAGACTCCTGATTCTTTCCTCATCCTCCCAGTAATCTCTCCCTTCTTGCGGGCCTGGAGGGGGGGATCTCCCCGTTCCCTCTCTTCCTGGTGTATTCTCCATCTCTATAGTCTCATCTACACTATGCCTGTTATTAACTTTCGTTCGCTTCTCTCGCGTTGTCACACTGATACCTTATCTTCTTCGCTAGCTGGGTTGGTTGGGCTGTGCCTCCTCCACCTGGTCCTCCACGCCTATGGCTAGGCAGTCGCCATATCCTTTCTACAAGGAGAGAGAGTGGTGGGAGAACACCGCAACGATATCGATGCTGGCATCGCCGCGGATGGCGGCTCGGTTTCTGCCGGAACCGGTTCACCCGTGGCGGAGCGCTTAGCGCTCGTAACGCAAGGTTCGCGCGGCCCAACCTCCAATTGTCCAATGAGGGCGCTGCTAAGTTTCACACAACAGTCAAAAGAACCGGCATTGTTCCGTAAAGAACCTGCAAGAAATATAAACCACTTATCCTTAAAAAAAAAAAAAAAAAAAAACAATTGATTTTTTCTTTTAAAAAAATGATTGAGTTGGAAAAAAAAATAAAAATGATTGAGTTAGAAGAAAATAAGGTATGATCCATTGATCCTTTAATTACAGCAATTACTGTCGACAACTTACAGAGTAATTTGTTGATGTGTTTACCATAATTCTTCACTGGGGTAACTTTTGCGCCGTCACGAAAACAGTTTGAAAATGCACACCCCCACCAGATCCCGAAGCTAGCTTGTACACATTCAACATTTTTCAGGATTTTCCCTACAACTCGACGTATTGAGACTGTGCCCTAGTTTTCCCCTCTTTATTTGTTTTTTTTAACTTTTTTTTCTTCATGTGGGACCATTTCTCCATTCTTCGTGTCAAAGCCTGTTATTAAATATCCTCCTATTTTTTTGGCACATACATATCTTACTTACAGCATTAGAGGCCGCGGATCCTCAACATTACTCTCGGCAGTATCTGAAAGCATCATAGCTTAGCTTACAGGACAAGCCTGCAGGTCTTTTAAGACCCAGTAGCTCATCGTTGTGACCTACGCTACTCCTATCCTACTACCGAAGCCCGTTTCCATACTAACTTACTTGCTACTAAACTACAACCGCCTCATACCAAGGTCACCCTACCCGGGTTGTAGTTCCCAGAGGCTGCAATTCCTACCTATCTAGAAAAACTGAAAGGGCTCAAAATTAGGTTTTGGACCCTAACTCGCCTCCCCCTTACTCTTGCACTCCTTCCAATCCTCCTTACCTACCAACTAATGCCATCCCCCTCCTGCTGATATCTGGACCGAGTGTGCAGGTCCTTGGAACTGGTAGGTCCTAAAACGGCCTATAATACTCTGGCCTTCTGCCAGCGGACCCTAAATTGGGTCCGACAAAGTCTGATGCTCCTATCCACCCCACCTCCTTCCGACTACTGCCCGTCTACTGCGAAGGGTAGGACCGAGCGCACCCACGTCCTTTTTAAAGGCTAATTAACCATGTTCCCTCCAACACGAATTTCTCTTCCTGAATAACTGCCAATTCTGTACTTATAGCCCAGTTGTTCAGGAACCAAGTCTTGCCTCTGATCCTGTTTAGTGACTTAGCTACTTTTCTGCTGCGCCAGTCACTTTTCACTTCCAAACTGATCCGGTTTTTTATCCTACATTTCAGCGCTTGATCCGAGATGTACTTGTTCTCAAACAAAATACTATTCCTGTCTTCCCAGATGACTGCAAAGATGACCGACCTGCAGACTTATGCCACGTAACACCAACCTTTTTCCTGCGGATTCTCCCCCAGATGAACCCCAAAAAGAATCCAATCATCGTCCCATGTCAGTTTGTTCTCGCATAACCTGATCCAATGTGACTGCCACCAAGTCCATATGCGTCTTGACAAAGGGCACAACAGCCACAGATGGACTGTTGACTCAAATGGCCACTTACAGCATTTGCAAATCACGGTTATGTTCATACCTCTTCTCTGTAGCCAGCAGACTGCTGATTGAGTGACCAGCAAGGACAGAAGCCAGAGGATAGAGGACATACGTTGTGACGGGATTTGGAGAATCGCTTTCCACAAAACCGGAAGGGTCTCCACCACTTCCTTCATCTGCTTTTCCACAACCTGGGTCCAACGTTGTGCTGCAATTACTACTGGAGGGGAGGACACTTGTAGTTCTTTATAACCTGAGGCTCTCTGAGTGTTATATTCCGAGAGCCAACTCTGTGGATTTTGCCACCTCCACATAGCTGGATCTAGCTTGAGTCTTCTGATGGGAGTACCGTTATTCCAGATGTAGCAGGACCAGGTGCCTTCCTCATCGCAATACTCTTTGACTCTGATCTGTGTGAGCTGTCCCAAAGGTTTTGGAGTGGCTCCACACACAGCCTCTTCCTCCTCCTCCTCTACTTCAAAAAGTTCAGGGCTAGCTAGGCTGAGCTGTTCCCGTTGCTGGAAAGATCCCGTGCCATCTGTGTCTTTTCCCACCAGTTACCGGTACAGGTTTTCCCTCTTTAGGTTCTATGAGTTGTACCATGTACCCACGGGGTCTGTTATTGTGGAGTTCAGCCGCTGTTTCCATTCCACTGGGATGACATTTATTATCCCGTGAAGTCGGTCCTCCACATCTCTCAGCCCTCCTACTCTCTTTCTCAGCTCAGAGGCCGATAATCAACACCCACAGATTTCATTCCAAATGTCCAACACACGTAGGACACCTCGTTGTATCCAAACTCTACCAAAGGATACTAGTCCCGTTCCCGTCGAGAAGGGTAATAAACCGCTGCTATCCTTGACGAATGGGTTATCAAAGATAGGTTGGCTTAGGACCTCCTCTTTGGTGGTTGGTTTGGACCAGCCTTTTGGCTTGATTTGTCTTCATGCAAAGAGCACTCCATGCCAAAATGAAGATTTGATTTGCCTGCGTAGATAAGAGTCCACCATGCAGCATGTCCAAATGTCCTCCATTCTTGGCAAGTCCCATTCAGTAGATAAGATAACTTTTGCCATGAGAATCCAGTGATCATCCTGGTGAGCTGAGATCGCCTTGATGATCCATTGGGCTAGCAGGGCAAGCTTCTGTTTGCCCGGGTCCAACATTCCCTGACCACCTACATCTCTGGTGTGACAGATTGTATCCCATGCTACCTTCAAAATGAAGCCCGCGTCCAGCTTCCCAAAAGGTTTCCATAAAAACCTTGCCGTGGCATTTCTCACTGATTTGGAAAGTTGTTTGCTGAGCTATTTAACTCTTCCTACAAACCAAAGTAGTGAGAAGAGAGCAACATTCAAGACCATAGCCCGTCCAAATATGACAAGTGTGGGGTTGGGCCCCATCTAGAGATTCGCTGAATTACTTTTTGCTGAAGTATGTCACTCTGAATTTCCTTACAGTTACTCAGAGCAACTTGTATTCCTAAGTATCTTTCAGACGAGCCTTGTGAGATTTTTTCCATACCAAAATCCACTACGGGGGCATACTGAGCAGGCAGGAATAATACTGATTTGTTCCAATTTATTGCTACCTCCGACAATTGGGAATATTCCACTAACTGAAAGATCAGTTTAAAAAAAATATATATATATTCCACTAAGCAACTTTTAAGACCTTGTAACGATGTCCGGGAGTGTTATGAGATCGTGAGTAAATCGTCCGCTAGCGCTTTGACCTTGCATTCCGTGTTCTGTACGCTCAGAACCTTGATGTCTGGACGACTTCTCACATTGTTAATAAGAACCTCTAGTTGGAGAACGAACAGTAGGGGAGGCAGAGGGCAGCCTTAACGAAGTGATCTAGAGAGAGAAAATGACTACGAGATCTGGCCGTTGATCATGACCGAGGCTTTGGAGGAAGGCCTATACGAGGCGACTACCCAACTTCTAAATTTAGGACCAAGGCCTAGATGTTTGAGCGTGGTCAACACGTACACCCAGTTCACTCTATCTTAGGCTTTTTCTAAATCTAGAAGGAGGACTTCCACATCTTGATTTTCTCTTTGTACTAGCTCTAAAGCTTCCATTGCCGTGACAATGTTGTCAAAAATAGATCTATCTCTGACAAAAGCTGCTCGATCTCTTCCCACTAGTTCCGACAAGATTTGAGTCAAAGCACCGGTTGGAAATACGGGTTCAAATCCACAGCCTCACGCATGGACACCGACAGGGCGTTAGAATGACGCACGGCAGGACACAGACCCCTTGGGCTGACGCATGGTAAGCTATTACAGACACTGTCTGCGCACCACCCAGGGGACTGTCCATGATATTGTATGTTGTGCTTTGGCAAGTATCTGATAGGAGACATTGAGGAGAGAGATCGGTCGCCAATTTTGGATGTCCTCCTTGTTGCCCTTCTTGTATATCACCGAGATAATGTCGTAGGACATGTTCAGCGCTGCCATGAGGAGTTTAAGGAGGGGAAAGGTCTTTGCAGCGCGTTGGAGCAATTTTTCGACGACGACGACGATATCACGGATGGTCATCATGACAACAACGCCATCGCTGATGATGCCACCAAGACTGTCAGTGACGAGGACGATAAGCATCTTATCTGCATCGCGGAAATCCGCAACAGCAACAACAACAACTACAAACTGACGGTGTTTGTGGGGCAGGCCGCAAACATCAACAATAACAACTACACTGTGTGCGACGATGGAATGGGACGAGGGATCCTGAGATTGTGCGCGCTTAGGAGAGTTAACGATTATAACAACAACAACGACGATGACGATACAGCTGGTGGCAACAAAAATAACAACAACAAAGGTGACGGAGTCGACATTGGCGGAGTGGTAAATGCTATTGGGCAGTTTTTTTTCCCTTTCCCCTGCCCTCCCCTCTTGTTCTTTGCAGATTGCTCGGGGGCAGAGGCGAGAGGGTTGAATGACTGGAATGTTGTGCAAACAGGAAGATTGTGTGGGGGCGGAGGGAGAGGGATGGTGGCGAGTAGGGGTGGGATAGCGAGGGCTGGATAACTGGGTCGTATGGTGCTGTGAGTATCGTCCTCGGGGTTGCTGTGCGAATGATTGGTGCCCCGCCACGTGGGGATTAACATCTCATTTTCTTCATTTTTTCCTGCTTGAGCATGCCTCTTAATAGGCTGTCCGGGGGAAACATAATTTTTGCTATAAACATAAACTTTGCCCACGTGGCAGCGTAGGAGGTACAGTGGTGCTATGCATTTGGGCAGCCTATGTGTTTTGCTAGTGTTGTGCTACATGGGTGTTTTTTTTTACGAATTCTGGCAATGGCACCTCCTTGTTCCAGTGGTTTTGTAGATCATCAGGATTGTGGGGGGCGTATTGAAGCAGGTAACTTACATAAGAAAGTCTAATGGTGGAATTGCACCTGGTTCAAGGACTCGCTTCAATTAACTTTTTATCACCCTATTCTGATTGCCTCTTCCCCTTATGGTGCTGCAAGAGTTTTTTTAAGATTATGATAAGGGTTTTTGAGTAGGGATATGACTTTAGAATGTGATGGGCAGTTAATCCCCTAAGTTGAGGGCAATCGATACTGCTCATTAGGCTAAAAGGTGCGTGCCTACGTGTCGGTTCATTATCACTCAGGCTTATAGTTCGAGGGACACGTGGCATGTTTATATGAACTATGGTTGTTTACAGGGACGTTGGACCCGCTTTCCAGCAGGTGTTGCTCCCCACCAATAGATGGAGCCTCCCCAAGCATGCTAGCGGTGTCTGCTCTTATCAGCACCCCTAGCATTTACTCTGGTGGTTTCAGGAAAAAAAAAAGAAAAAAGAAAAAACATGTTCGTGGAGAGTGATCCACCTAACAAAACTTTGTTGTAGATTTCCAACAAATGAGGGACAAGTACCTTCCATTGTGCCGTGAAAAACTCTACCGGAAGCTCCTCGCTCCCTGGTGGTTTTCCTCTTGCCATAGAGTGAACCGCTGCACGTAGTTCTGCCTTGGTGATAGAGGTGTCTAGGCTGTTGCTGTCCAGATTGCTGAGATTGATGGACGTCTGGTTCCAATGATCTGAATTGGCGGCAAGGTCAAGCTGTGGGTCCTCTCCTACCCTCCTTGATGTGAGGATATCCGTGAAGTACAAAACGACGTGATCACACATTCTTGCGCGCGTCTCTGCTATGTTCGCAACGGATAAGAACAGATGTTGCAGGGCCTTCATGCCTTGCACTATGCATCTCGGGGATAACTTTTGAAAAGATTCGCAAGTCATCCTATCATGTTGTTATACCTTTCACTCGCAATCTGTTCGCCCATTCTTCAGATCTCTTTAGTTGTAGTTCCTCCCATTCTGGCGGCAACCTAGCTTTGTCCTCTGCCCATACCTGGGCAGATATGGGGTGCAGATCCATCCTCCCTTCTATCTCCTCTAATCTGGCTATGATATATAGCTCTTCCTTATTTCTCCTAGCCGCCATGATCCGTGAGAAGACGCTTAGGATTCCTGCACTGATGGATGAACCAACATCCCACCAGTCCCTTAATGATTGAAACAGGTGGCGAGATTTTGACCACTTTTCCCATAAGGTATCTATCCATCTCGTTATACCGGGGTCATTCAGCAGCAGTGTGTTCAGCCTGTAGTACCCCTTTCCTCTGTCCGTACACTCACCCAACTTGAAGGACGCTAGGACTGGTTTATGGTCCGACATCGGGTTTGGAATTACCTTAATTTGCTGAGCTGATTCCGTGGACTTGTTAGGAAGAAGTCCAGACGTCTGTGGACACCTGCTTGTGGACCTACTGTCGCTGCTGAGTACCAAGTGTGACCAAGATCTTGTGGGTACATTAAGCGGAAAACATCGCTTAGTTCCAACTCAGTCATATATTATAGGAGAAGTGCTAAGTCCGCTGCACCCGGTGGCGTGCCAGTGGGGTCATCTACTGTGCAGTTCCAGTGTCCTACAATGAGTAAATTATCAACATCCGGAGCGAACTCCATAATCTCTCTCAGGAAGTTGATTCTGTCGGATCTGTCTGAAGGAGCGTAGACTGTCATAACTGCCCAGGACGATTGTTGATCCTCAAACTTCACCCATGCCCACTTTCCCCAAATCTGCATTATCGAAATCTACTATGCTTGCTTGCAGTTCTCTGTGGATTAGGATACCAACTCCCCCTCTAGTACCCATGGTTGGGGGCCATATTTGTGGCCCATCCCACCAACTACCTAGATCTAGGATCTTCTCCTCACCTAGTTTGATCTCTTGTAACATCATAATATACACTATTTGATGGTGAATCTAGGACTTGAGTCTGGTCTTCTTCGCTCTTTTTGTAGTATCCCCTACACCTCGCATATTCCAGGTAGCGATCCTGAGTCTATCCATCTACTGCATTGGTACCCATTGTGTTCTAGATCCGGATTCTCGAATAGTCCATGCTGGAACCATCATGTATCACTGCTGCCCCTCTCCCATTTGACGAAAAGGAAGCTTGTGACGAAGAGGAGGCCCATTTCTGAACAAGGAAGCTCCCGAGGAACATTGACTCTATCTTCTTATTGGCAGGGAGCTTGGCGTTGACTTCGCCTAGGAAGCCTGCACAGATGTCTTTGTCCACACGGAGGTTCTCTAACTCGCTGCTTCCCCTTTGAAGAAGAATTGAGACCGACATAGTTCTCATACCATTTCCCGCCAAGCTCTCCAGACGTTCTTTTTGGATATGGGCATCCAACAGAGGCACCAAAAACTGATCTTTCGCTCTTGATGGTCCACGAAGAACTTTCTGCGTGGCAATGTTTGGAACTAGTATGATCAGAAAGGAATCCCCGAAGCTCTGTCTGGCTAAATATAATGCAGTGCTCGAGAGAACCGGTTCCTCCGTCGGGATAGAGAGAAATGAAATTACGCCTTGTGGTGACAGTCATGCCAAGATCTGCACTGTGTTGTTAACCAGTGCACAAACCAACGGAAGTACCCATTTCTCCAACCCTTGAAGTTGTCCTCTTCCAATAGTCACCGATCTTCGGTCCCGGGACATCTTACTATCGGCACTTTGCATAGCTATGGTCATCCTGACAGCACCCCGAGATCTGTCAGAGTTTGCGACAGATTTTTGTGAATTTTCACTGTGGACACCTTCTTCTTCGTGATGCGGTCTACTGCTGCCCTTGCCACTTTGAATCGGATTAGGATTTATTCTGGCCATTTTCGATGGAGAGCGGCCTCTTGCGTCTCTCTAAAGACTCTGCAGCAAGTGGAGCTTTGGGTTTGGGTTGAAGACAAGCAAAAGGTGGAGTAGCTCCACGGTCCTGCAGGATTGTGTGATTGTACTCTTCTGGTCTTGTCGCTCCCTATATGTGGAAAAATGTTTCTCTCTTTTGGCTCTGTTGTTATCTCCTGTGCATTTCGAATGCACGCTCTTGGTTTTTGAGTGTGATTTTCTGTCCATTCCATAACTGCTGATGAAGATGTCCTTCCCATGGTAATGGTAATTAAACTGGGTACGCTGCTCTTAGAGAGAGAATAACGGATTATCGTGGTGAAACGGGATTGCTGGCTGGACTTGATGAGTTGGGACTTGTACGTTCCATCGAGGTTGATCCTACACAAAAGGCCTTGGTTGCCATACTGGATTAGCTAGTGGACCTTGGTATCTGCCAACACTTTCACTGGTTCTACCCCCTGATCTTTGAGATCCGGGATTTCCGTTTCTTCTAGGATCTCGTCTTGCGAAGCGTTAATCATCCTGACGTTGAACTTTTTTATCTGTCCTAGTTCAAATCGAAGTTCCGTGTGCATTCGTCTTCCATATGGAAAAAACCTCCGCAACACCTACACCAGGGAGTTGAGGATGAGACCAGTTTTAACTCCCTGAGATCACCGTTATCTGTTTCTACCCAAATCCCGTCTACCATCCTTGCTCTGAACTGTGGGTCGACATCATACTTCAAGTTCATCAACTCCGGTTTCGTGGCATCTCTAATGGGAGGATAGTCCTTCATAATCCTTCCTATGATATTTCTGATTGCTGTTTTTGTATATATTATTGAATCCAGTGGAACTTGCAGGGCCATTACCCAGAAGGTTGATTCGTCCTGTCTCCTACGAAAATCTCTCCATTCCAAACAGGTCATCCAAGGTCTAAAATTCATATTGTACTCCAGCCCAAAAGCCTCCACTTTCTCTTCTGTTTTCTCGATCATCCAGTTTAAAATAACGGAATTTATGGCTACATACGACAGAACGTTCGGATCTTCGAAGCGGATCGTTCCCCCTGGTGCAGATGGGTTGAAAACAGTTTCCCTGGTTCATCGATTCTCCAAGGCTCGGATGAGATCTGCTTTCACCTTCCTTGGGAGATCTTTGGCCGCCTCCTTGAAGATCACTACCACCGTTCGCTCTTTTAGCCATCTGACCTTGATCTGATAAAAGTATGAGTTGACCTTGATTACAACTTTTCTTCCGATAATTTCAACACTCTCGCATGAAATATTATCGGGGATATTGTCGTCCTTGTAGCACTGAGCCAGTAGCTCGCGAACTCTTGGCTCTGAGATTTTCAGCGCTTCCGGCGCCGGAGGTGGCGATCTTGCTCCGGTCGACGCTTGATTGTCCATGACTACTTCTTGCCTACCTTCTTCCATCTCTACTCGACAGAAATTTAATCCGTTCAAAGGAAAGCTCACGAATCTAATAAGTGTTGAACTCACTGATTTGTCACTGGATAGATCCATGTGGGAAGAACTGATACAAAAGAAGTTAAACTATGGACGAAAGTCGATAACACTAGCCCAAATACTTAATCTTACCAAGCTTCCGGTTGAGAAAAACTAATCCAGCGTGAGAGGAATAAACATCTACTTTATACTACCTACAGTCAGCTCGTCGACTACGTAAAGTAATTTGACCAGAAATAATAGATCCCCCTTAGCACTTAACTCTCCACGCTCGAGAGACAAGATATCAAATCATCACAATCTGTTTCAAAAATAGACCAGCAGCTCCATACACGATTAGACCATAAAAAATAGACCGTTGCCCAAGATTAAGAATAGAAAAAAACAGCGGAAGATTCACCCAGAGAGATTTGACCAGGAAAACAGACCAGGCCCCGAGAATTAGACCAAGACTTCCTCAGAAGAAGAGGTAAGAGAAGAACCACTGACAGAAGAGAAACAGTCAATTGAGCCTCGAACTACATACCTACTACCACAACTCCCCCGCAAAAGATGATTTGAAAGAAAGGAAACAATCTCAGACGTCAATCACCGGGGCCTCTAACTTCTTACCTACTACAAATTCGTGCAACGTGAGGTCCAAAGCATGGACCAAACCCACATCCCAACTCAAAAGAAAGGGAAAAAGCTCAGACGTGAACCCTACCAGGGCCTCGAACTTCGTGCCCACGTGAGGCCTGGTAGAGAGCTCTGGGGGGCTGTTTGCGGGGGCAGTCCCAGTGGTCATCGGGGTCGTAACTGGAGCAACGCTGACCGGTGTTGGAGCAAGGTGGTGCAACTTTGTAACCTAACCTGATGGGATCATGAGGCCTGGAAGAGCTTCGGTTCGTGCTGAAATTAGCCATGCTGGTGGTGGTCATAGGTGGATTGAATAGATTTCACCTATCTGATTTGTGATGGGGAGACTTTTTGACACACATATTCTATTGACTTGGTAGAGTCTGAATTAAAAAAAAAAAAAAAAAGTCGGTTGTTCTTATGAATGTCTTAGGACTTTAGGGTTTCTTAGCAATCCATCTCAGGCGGTTTCGATGCTGTTATACTCGGTGATCTGTGGCCGTTCGATGCCAGAACGACGCTGACCGGTGCTGGGGTGTTGCCCTGTAACCTGCTGATGCAGGAGCGTGAGGCCTGGTAGAGAGATTTGGGGATGCTTTGGGGTGGGCATCCCAAGGGACGACCAAGGGTTGCTGCTGGGATGACGCTGGTCGGACCTGGGGCGAGTTGTGTTGCCCTGTAACCCAGCAGGGTGGGGGCATGAGGCCTGGAAGAGCTCAGTAGGGAGTAAGACGGTGTTGGAAAGTCTTAAAAGGGTTTGTCAAGGAACCTGAGGGTAGTGAGCATTCGTAGGACCTCTGTGGCAGGTTATTGCACGAGTAATTCCCTAATAGGTCATTAGATACTCAGGATCCTCCCCATGTTTCTGAATCTCATCGTGTTCACAGATTGTTCTCAGCCGAAGCCGGGTAATGGCCCCGGTATCTCAAATGACCTCAAACGATCTCAAATGTTCTCAATGATCTATATAATTCGATATGGGACGCTGGGCCTGGTTCCCAGCACGTGCTGCTCCCCACGAATAGACTGGAGCACTTGTTCCAAAAAAAAAGAAAACAGATCCGCGCAAAGGAAGGCACACGGGAAAAAACAAAGAAAAAAAAGGGGATAATTTGCAAAATACCCCCAAAAGTTTAGATATATGCCAAAATGTCCCTGAATGATGTGGGTAGAACGGAATGCCCTTTTGGGCTGAAATCTTTGTGTTGTGCCCCTGTCAGGCGGATGTGCAACTTTGCAATCTGGACCTCCCCATTTGGGCATTGGCCTTTTGGAATAGCGCCTCGGAGAAGTTGGCAAGTACTGGGGCATTTTGCAAAGTTGGACGGTGCGCAGTAGCGGTATATTGCAAAGATGTGGGTCCAACCGACGTTAGGGGTATTTCACAAAATATACTTTCTGTCAGAGGGGTATTCCGCTCTACCCACATCTTTTAGGGGCATTTTGGCATATACCTCAACTTATGGAGGTATTTTGCGAACTGTCCCAAGAAGAACCGCCCCCCCCGCCGAAATCCTTCACCCTAGGTACCCATACCCATTCCCGGGCCAAGTCGCACTCAAAACTCAAAGTTAACGAACCAAACATGAAACTCAACCGAACATGTTCACAAACACGTCCAGATTCGGGCGTCCAGGAAACTTCACGCTTCCTGTGGACTGGGCCCTGGGTGGAGGCGGGTGTGCGTCTGTGCTCTCGCTTGAGTGTGGGTGTGTGCGGTGTGCGGGTTGCAAGACACACATGACAACACAGACACAAACAGAGGGCCGCGGGGAAACATGAGCGATGTGCTGCTCTCGATGGATGGTGGAAACCGGCAGGAGGCGAACCTTTTTTCTTTCGTGGAAGGTGTGGTGAAGTGCTCCGCGTGGAAGAGGCAAGGAGCGATCTGAACTTTTCTCCTCCTCCACCGCCTCCTCCCTTCGCCTTCGAACCCTCCATCATTCCACATCCTGACGCAATATCAGTCTGCACCTGCTTTACCCATCTCCCTTCCCCCATGACGACCTAAGCTTCCGCTTCTTCAGCTCCCGTCATCGCGGACTGCCTCCCCGCTCTGCTTGTGTGCGATTTCTTTCGATCTCTCTCAAGAATATCGTTGGCTCTTCTAGATGACCAGCTTATGCCAAGTTCTGTTGATTTGTGTTTGTGTATCACACAAGAGAGAGAGAGAGAGAGAGAGAGAGAGAGAGAGAGAGAGAGAGAGAGAGAGAGAGAGAGAGAGAGAGAGAGAGAGAGAGAGAGAGAG